ATATATATATATATATATATATATATATATATATAATGAAAACAGACCCTTAGGGACAGAGAACCAGCTGATATTTGCCAGAGGAGAGGAGGTGAAGGAAGGGAATTAAAAAAATATAATAACTTAAAAATAAATAAATAAAATACAAGTCCCCATTAAGCTGTAGAAAGGGGAAGCACTGGGGAGACTGGAAAAGCAACCATGATAAATGCCATTACTTCCGTGACGAATTCCTGATGAGAAAAAGGACAGCGAGAGAGACAGGCAGTGACTTGCAAAGGCAGAAGCAGACCTGGGAGGTTCTTCACGCAGCACAGAGCCCACCAGGAGATAGCGGCCGACTGTGGGCGGGGGTGGCGGAACAGTAGCTGCTGGAGTGGGTCCCCAGAGCCAGAGAGCAAAGCCTGGGTCACTCTGGTGAGACGGAGCAGCGGGGAGCAGGAGAAAAGCTCAGGTAGGCCTTCTGACAGCAGAACGTGAGTCATTCGTGGGTAGGTACGGACAGGCCAAAATTGAAGTGAGCTAAAAAACAAAAGTGAAATAAAGTGAACTAAAAGATTGCTGAAAAGTAAAAAGGAAGTCATTCATTGATTCATTAGTTGATAACAAGGTAAGTATGAAAAAGTCATGTTATACTAAGTATTATATGTCTTTAAATATTGTTCCAACTGGCCTTTTCTCTGAGAGTTAAACTGTCACCTTAGCCAATTAACTGGTGATGACTGCGTCAGGGCTGTTCCAGGGGCTCCCACAATTACTGGCCTCTTGTACTTTTGCAAGAGGAGACTGAGGTTCAGAGAGGTTTCCGATCCACCTGAGGTTGCCCAGCAAAGAGGTTGCAGGATGGGGGTTTGACCCTATAGACGTCACGTGTCCCCGTGGTCGGCATCCCTTTCCCTTAACTTATCACTGGGATAAGTTAAGCTTCAAGGGTGAGAACTTCCTCGTGCTACTCAAAGGGGTGGCGCGCTTCTGTGTGCAGTGTCCCCACCACACGTTACATGCACCAGCACAGTCAGGTTTGCCCTACTGAGCCCAACTAGATGAAAAGAACTGACTTGCAGACCTTGAGGAATCACCTTCAACACCGAGTTTTACCAACAGTTGGATAAAAATAACGATTTTGCTTGCTTGTTGACTATGAGGTATGGATTAAGTTGTTTGAAACTTTAGGCTGGTGCCATTGGCCACACATAGCTATTTAGACTGAAATTGTAATGAATGGAAATTAAATGCAAGAAGGAATTTAGTTCCTCAGTTGCACTAGCCACGTTTCAAGGGCTCACAGCCACATATGGTTAGTGGCCACCGGACAGCAGTGCAGAGAGCTGCCTGGGACAGCACTGCTCTGGGTTGAAGGGCAGGCTCTCTGAGCCCTTCTGCAGCTCAGCTCCCTGTCTGGGAACAGGCCTCAGAGTGCTAAGGACAGCATGGCAGCAGAGCTGTGGGACAACAGGAGCCACGCACCAGAAAACTGCCCCACATGCGAGTGTCCTTGTCAATTGTTGCAGTGTTGTGAAGCCAGAGTCCTGGAGACACTCATGTGTTGACCCTTGGCCCTCATCACATGAACTCCTTCCCAGAGCTGAACTCTGTGTCGAAGCTGTTGTTTATACTCAGGTCTCTAAGTCTGAAGTTCATTTCATGTTCTGCACCATGGACAATGTCCCTTCGTGTGGGAGGTACCATTATACATACAGGATGGTGCAAAAGGGTGCTATTGCATAACGCATAATTATAGTTTATAACATGAAATCACACTTTACTGCAAGGACCACGGTTGCTGGAAATATACAGGGGAAAGTCCACGTGCATACAAGCTGGTGAGTCCTCACCGCTGGCCTGTTGGACACTGGTTACTGTGAACGGCGGCCAAGTTAGATACATAACTACACCGGGGGCTTCATGGCGTCCGTGATAGCCGAGTTCATGAGCTCCAGGCAGCCGTGGTGACTAGCGCCTCTACCTCAGGCAGGAGACAGTGACACTTCTTAGTATGGACTGATCCCTGGGCCCGGCTGCCTTCTTCCAGGGAACCACGAGTCTGCGTGTCCACGGATGATCAGCACCTTGAATCCGCACAATGGACAGAAGCCTGAGGAATGTCCTCGTGGTCTCCCTGGGGTTCCTGCTTCTCTTCACTGCCTACGGAGGCCTGCAGAGCCTGCAGGTACGTGCGCACCATCGTCACGCTCTCCTGGCTCCGGGAATCCCCGTGGCCACAGACAACAAGGTCTTGTTCGGCAACTCACCCCCCAAAACCCTCTGGCCCAGGCAGGGGCTTTGACATGCCCTCCACCCCCCAGTACCGGCCCCACTCCCATTCCAGAGGGATCACATAACAGCACGTGTGTGTTTGAACTTTGGATCAGGAGGGCTGGTCATGGGTTAGTGATATGAAAAGGTATTCTTTGCCTCTGGGTGGTGTAAAGGAAACACAAGAAGCATCATGGAGAATTCTTTGGTTTGGTGCTTCTGACTTTGCGGTCAGGGGCAGTAATGGGAATTTATCAGATTCCGCTAGGCCGTAGAGATTCTGGGGCTACTTTAAGCCAAACTGTGACCGCGGGCAAAGCAGCCTGTGCGTTTGACCCGCTGTGGCATCCTGTCCTCTGTGGGTCTCTCAAGGGCAGTGGCAGTGGACGCGTGCGCTTGGGAGCAGGCTTGCTGCACCTTCCCCAGGCAGCCACGTGTTAATCTGATCTTTAGCTGTGACTAAGACCTCTGGGAACCCCAAGGGCGGGTTGGGAAGAAGACCATGGTCAGGCCCAGGGTTGTGGCCTGGGCACCGCCACGTCACAGAACATTTTTAGGGCTTCTGATGACATGAGAGTGTCTTACGTGGTTAGCCAACCAGGGACATAGGGCAGGGACCCACGTGTGTGTGGTATTGACCCGTAAAAGCACGGGGCTCGAACCAAAGGTGCAGAACAGGAAGGGAGAGGCTCGGGTTTCCCGTCCTCGCTGCTGCGATGCCACGCTCTGCGCATGTGGGTCGGCAAGAAAGCTCAAGTTCAGCCTCGAATTCTCAAGTGTGCGTCTCCCCAGTGGACCCCATTCAGTCTTGTTTCCAGTTAGGCTCACAGAGAACGAGATCGTAGCCAACGCCGACTCTGGAAATCAGGTCCTACAGGAAGCACTGCCTTTCCTGCCCGTGCAGTTCAGGACTCTGTCAGTGTGTGACGAGCCTGTCTGGCTGTGTGAATGGAGCTCATGTTAATGCAGAGGGTGATTTCTGGAAGGAGGACCTGGCGAGGGGGTGGGCCCCGCGGTAACAGTTCCCCCATGGAAAGCCCCCACGAAGGGAACCCTGCGGCCACACCAGCACCAGGCAGGGCCCCCCTGGGTGTGGGGCCAGAATCCTCAGGAAGCACTTACCGGCATCTGACAGCTGTTAGGTGGAGTTATAGCAAATGACCTCTGGACTGGAAACCGGGGTGTGAGGGAGGGAGGGAGAAGAAGGGGGGTGGCGAGGGAGAGCCTGAGGCTGCGACTGCGGGCGGGTGAGGCCACAGACAAATGCGGGCAGACATTTGCCTCTGTGGCCCCCAGACCAGTGGGAACCTCACTCAGGAAACAGTGGCAGCAGCTCGGGGACAGCAGCGCGGCTGAGGAAAGGCGCACAGCGCACCAGGGCTCCTGGGAATGGAAGCGCCCGCTGTCACTGGTGTGGTCCCTCTGCCTCCGAAGACAAAGACTAAGACGGGAGATGTCGGAGCACCAGAGCTCTGACTCTGACATGAGCCCGCCCCCGCCCCGCCCCCCATCCAGACCACTTATATGTGTTTTAACTGTGGTGATAGCGTCTGTCAGTCAGAACTGGCCCGGGCCAAAGAATGATGGCATGGGTAGAAGTGACTTTAGGGATAAGTGCGTCCCAGCCACGCTGGAGGGACCTGCCGGCCTGCGTCATTTTCTTCCACTTTCATCTGGTGGCCTTTATTGTCACACCCCAAAGGGGTGGCAAAGATGGTTGCAAGCACCCTCAGGGGCCCAGCGGGAGCCGTGAGCCTGCCCCAGACCTGGACACACACCTACACCCATCCCACCGCAGCAGCTGCTGTCCTCGCAGCCTTGTTGGCCATTGATCTGTTTATCACTGAGATCTCAGCCTGGGCGTCACTTCCTTGCCCCCCTTCCCTGAGCCCTGGAACCGAAGTCTGGGCGAGGTGCGCTAGTCGGCTGAACTCCCTTCCCGGCCCCTCCATGAGCTTAAAGATCTGACCCGGTTTCCCAGTGTGGAGCCCGGGGCTCCCCAGGGTCTGGTCTGGCCGGCTGTCCACCCGCATCCCACCAGAAGCACCAAGCGTTCCCCGCTGTCTCATCGCAGCACAGGCCTGTGCAAACGCACCTCCACGGCCTCCCCTTAGCTGCCCCTCCACTCTTCCCCGTGCCATCGCCTCGTCTGGGTCCCACGCGGCCTTCACTCCTTCTGGAAAGTCATCCTGACGCCACTAGGCTGACGTTCGTGGTCTCCCGGAAGTCAGGCCCCTGAGCTCCACCCCCCACCCCAGCCCCAGGACTCACAGCCCAGTTGCAATGGCCTGGTTGCTGGTGTTACTGACGCCTGTCAGCTCCTGTCACCATCCATTCCTGGGGAGCGGTGGCTATTGCATTTTTTGTGTCACTAGAGCCACACAGAGAGCCTCCACCAGTAGCTGCTTAAGGATCTATTTGTTGCTGGCATTGAGTGAATGTCCGATTGTTTATGGGAGCAGGTCTCACAAGTTCCACGTGCACGTGTGTGTACCCTCACGTGTGCACGTGTGCGTATCTCCATGTGTGTATTTCGCGGGTTGGCTCTCCTAACACAAGCAGGTATGGGTGTTTGAACGTGGTCGTTCACACAGAAAAGAAGTTTGCTTTTAAAATTTGGTTTCCACTTTGGATATTGAAAGGTCTTCCTTCCCCCTGGTTTACAATCACACTCAATTATAAGTGACAAGTGACAAATATAGCTTGCTGATTTGCAGCAGATCTGTGGGTGCAGAGAAACGCTGAGCTTCTCACCAGCATACAAAATGTGAGCTCATTAATGCACGAGAGTCTAACACACAAGCATTCAGGAAAAAGGCTGAGGCTGAACAAATTCTCTCCTATTCCTGGCAGCTAGAGGTTTATACGCAGAAATTTCCAGATTACCCCCACCTCAGAGCACAGTTCTCAGTTCCCATGTTCCAACCAGATTTCAGAATGTTCCTGAATGTTCTTACTTTCAGTTTCAATGAATCCACAAATATTAAGTACCGGCTCACATACCTTTGGGCAAGGCATTGGGGAGCTTTAGGAAAAGCTGGGGTGACCTTGAGAGTGACCAGGTGGTGCGCTAGAGGCCAGGTGACTGTCCAGAGAGAAATTCTAA